TCCGCCTTCCCCAATGCATCATCAGGGGACTAGACGTGGGTTAGGATTCCACCCCTATGTTGTGAATAATCCCAGGATTCGCACGAAGCGTAGTGTGAATAGGCATTATTTAGGTGTGCATGCTAAATCGTCGACCTCATCATCACTTTCATCGGGTGTAATGGAGGTCAAATGCGCACTTATTTTTAATAAAAAAAAATGCAACATGTGGCAGTGAATGGTTATTTGAAGACGGTCATTAATGCTGATACGTAATGTACGCAGCAAATATTCCAAGGCAAGGTATTTTCCGTTTAATATAAATCTTATTTTGCATTCCTTGTTGAAACCTCCGGCGGCCAGAGGGCTGGCAGCCACTGCCGTCAAAGAATAGACTTAGCTTCAAAGGCAAAATGTTGCCTACTGCGCACTATGCCCCAGGGCAAGGGCTCTTGATTAAATATTACATTATATTATTAACCTGCGACGCTAAACATGGGGACTTAGAAGTTTGAAGCCTTTGTCTGTGTGTTTGTGACACAGCCCCCCAAGCGGTTTTCTTTATTTTGAAAACTAATTTAATCGGAATAGTGATAAGTAGGGTTGTTCCTGATGCAGGCTTTCACACATCAGCGGATGCTGATTTTTAGTATTTAAAAAAAAGCATTTTTTTAATACCATATGACGACGACACGCCTAATCATAACAGTTGCACTGCCTGTCAGAGTATTAAATTGAAAAGACCTTAGCGATACTGTCCCTGCGCCCGTTGTCGTGAGACATAAGTTGACAAGTCTTATGTGCCTGTAATTTCGCCAGTATCACACCTTCAAAACTGGAACGCAGTAATGTTCACGTTACTGTTTTGCGGCAGAAATAGGTAAGGTGGTAGTGTACTTCCCTGGACGAACACTTTTCGCAAGGCGCAAACATCCTATCTGAATTTCTCTACATGAAAAAGCTTTTCATCTTGTCTGGTATTGTAATAAAATATTATTTCAATGATTTTGTGACATTATTAATAAAAGAATCAATCTTCATGACAACAATCAATCTGCCTGGTTTAATCGTTATGAAATTTTGTCAATGTTATATTTTAAAAACAACAGCTGAGCTGTTTTCTCGGCTTACAGAAAGTTTCTGGAAGGTTTGTAAATGGGTATATAACACAATGAATACCAGCACCGATGAATGCAGATTAGCCGCGGATGCTAATATTCGCAACAACCCTGGTCCTTGGCTATGTTTGATTAACATCTGTTCAGCTGTTTAAAATTTATCAGTTCTTTTCCCAGTAAGTGCAGAGAACTCAGTCATAAGATTTGAAAAACTTTGTTTGACATTTGGTATACAATGAAAATCCGATGACATTACAATAACAATGGAAACCTTGATATGATGCTGCAACAAGAACAGTTTGCAGACTACCCAACTTTTTAATTAGATAGAGCAAAGTCACTTAGGCGCTGCTGGTGCGTTACGTTGTCGCAACGTTATGATTTCAACGCATCGAGAGCGATACCACACGATGCGTTGCGTCAGCTTTGCGACGCCTGAGCGGTGACGTTGCGTCGTGCTGCAGAACTATATGCCACAAGGGCGCTGGAACGGACACGGGGCCAGGAGACGACTCGGAGAGGGGAAAGTAAGCTGCGTTACGCTACCGTACCGTACCGCTCGTGTGGCATTCGATGCGTTGAAATAGCGTCGCAACACTGAGGCAACGTCCGTGTGGTATCGCTTTGACGCATCACAGTACTCCTCCCTGCTTCATCTGTCGCTGCGTGTGCTTCCGACGCACCCTATGGCATATAGTTCTGATTTATATATCGCAGCTTCACCATTCAGATCAGATCGCAACGCCGGGCCGACGTAACGCATGGTATGGCATCGCTCCTACAGTAGAACTACCACGTTTGGACTCTTTAAATGAATGAATCGTGACTTTAATGACTGTTTTGTTTCGGGGATTATTTAATTTTGTAAACAAATATAGTTCCTCTTGTGTCACAAATGTTTTACACCGCTAGCCAAAATCAACACGATGTTAACCTGACAACCTAAAAACTTGTTCAGCATTAGTATTTATACAAGACGCATTTCTAATCGACTAGTATACCTATTGGGATCCTCATGAATAGAAATTTAAACACGGAGCACCCACTATAAACACGTTGATCACCAGGCAGAACGTTGTAACTTATTTCTAGGTAAGTCCGGTTCTAGAACATTTACGAGAGATATTGCTTATTGGATACTTATGTCTTTTAAAGTATGTAGTATTGTAGCAATATTTATTTGTTATTTAGTTTTCTTAGTTTTATTGTGATTGGTAAACGATTTGTGTAGTATTTTTGCTTTGTTATTTAAGGTGAGTCACCACAGCAGAAGTGGGAAAACATGTTTTACTAGATCAAATAGTTTAGGCATTTACTATTAAACAAACATCTTACAAAAAACATACGACAAACCTAAGCATATTGTACAAAGAATGTGCTAATTCGTTGCAAGATAGGATGTACTCCAACCGATCATATAAAATCCTGAAAACAGGGTAAAATAAAAGTCCAAAACGAAATGTTTAAGAATAGAATATCTATAACTTTGCATATAATTTTTAAGTGGAGATATTTCTCTTTGAGTACTACAGAGAGCCTGCTAAATTTTGGTCTTAACTGAAAAGTCACCAATACGCTGCGCCACTCGCTACCCCGTCAGTCGCCATCGAACGCTTGTCGATGTTGGATCTGTGTCAAATTTTCTTCCCCTGTTCTTATTTTATTCATATTAAAGACTGGTACGGAATTGGTATTATATAGCAACTGCTTCGGTTACCATGTCGGACTGCTACGCACCGTCCGAGGTCCTGGGTTCGATTCCCAGACCGGGAGAAATAAGTGTATGGCCTACATTTATTTCTCTCCTAGTTTGTGTGTAATTTGTTGTTGTTTATGTGTGTGTCCTAGCCCTAGTGCGAGGCTATGAGTGTGTTGCATGTGTTGCGTTATTAATTCGGGTTGGCCAATCGGAGCGCAATTGTCACCGTATTCATTTGGCAGATTGCTTTTTAAACAAATTAAATGACATTTCGTCTCTATTTGTGGTTATATACTCGATGACTTCAGTATGGAGCTTGGTACTTCATTCCTAGAAAAAAAAAAACCAGCTTGAAATAAAGAGCTTAGCAGAATAATAAAGAAAAATATTGTGTCCTGCATTTTTTATTTATGCATTTAAGTGAGGTCGTGAGGTGATGTTTAATTGATTACCAGGTGCGCAGCGATACTAAAAAAAGTCCAAAAAGTAACATTAAAAATCTTAATTCTAATTGGCTAATTAAATTGCACTAGGAATGACATTGACTGATCTATCAATAATTTTTATCGCATTGGCCACTGATGCATTAGCATTAGCCAAAAAATTACATAACAATCCGTTCCTTCAATTTTACTTTACATAGTATTAAATACACCTAACGATTTTCTGGAAATTCCGGATCGAAAATAATTTGTTTTCAATTTAGACTTCTTAAAGGAACAACTCCTTTATAGCGCCTGGATTGCGGGACGCGAGAGGCGATCCCCCACCCCTCCATTTCTAAAATCTAAGCCCACATTAAATACCTGGCCTTAAGCGGTTCAAGACCGGTCGTTATGGAGATCGTCAACGCCTGTACAAGGTTATTTGTAATATACTTACAACCTTGCGGGACTGTATTACGAATATCATAAACAACACTTTTTGTTCCATAACTTTTTACAAAACATAATCAATTTACCAGAATTTAATTTTTAAGTCCGTATCTGAGAAGCATTACACTGTACAACATTTAGAATGGCTTGAAATAAAACTAATTGAGTTTAGTTAATAACATTTCGAGCTACTCTAATTGGCGTACAAACTGCCTTTCGTCACAAAATCTTGTCCCCTGTAAAAATACAAAAATAGCACTTACGGTGTAATGCTTCTCAGGTACTGTTTTTGTTTTAATATGTTACAAGGTTTGGTAGTAAGGAAGTAAGTTCAAACATGCAAGCGTCCTCCCCGACGACCCCTACCTCAGTTGATTGACATTTACGTTAGCATAGAGTTATCACCGTATTTAGAGCGGTGTATTTAAATAAAATACTTATATTTTTGTACGTCTGTAAAATTTGGTGAATAAGTAAGTCATAGAACAAGAAGTCAGACTTTGAAACGCAATTCCCATTACTGTTCATGACAGTAAATCCTTAGCAATTTTCAAAATGAGAGTAGCTCTGTTTATCGTTAGTTCCATCAATTTTACTGGTATTACAAATAAATAAATAAAATTTGCAAAACATAGTTTATTTATTACATTACTTTACATACCCATTAAAATAATAATTTTAGTACGAAATAGTATTATCCATGTATTTATACATTTTAACAATTTATTGTTTTTTCATATAATTGATTATAATTTTTGTTTTATTGCGTACGTAAACCCGTTATTTTAATTGTATTTTGGTCTGCAGGAAGAAATTTCTATTAGAAATAAGCAGTACCTTTTGTTTGTGTTTTTTTAAATACTAAAAGTGTTTGTATTTTCCTGTGAAATAAAATGGTTAAGACCTCAGCTCGAAATCAAAATTTCGAAAGTCAATTTTGCTTGGGTCGAGCGGCAGGCACACTGCCTTTATTTCAGAATTAATTTTTTTTACAAACGAAATTGAAGCTATTGGAAAAATGTATACTATACGTGTTGTATTTAGTTCCGTCGATATTAATAAAATCATTGGTATATATATAGTACCTATTAAATACGGCGGTTTTCTTGTCAAATTTCGAGGTACGTTTGTGTTTTTTTTTCTATCGTGAAAAATTTTAGAAATCGTGTTTTCATACCGTATATAGTACCTACCTCAATTCATTAGTATATCTTCAATTTTACTCTTATTTTTCCAAGTGATTGATTCAACATTTTCACTGTTATGCAGAATCAACAATAACCATTTGAAGTAAAGCTGTTGTTTATGGTGTTATAAGCGGTAACTTACCTTACATAGCCGATCCGGTTGCCTCATAGTCCGATCATGCAGAGATCTGAAAATAAAAAGTAATTTTTAATAATTTATATTATATTAAACTTAAATTAAACTTAATTCAAACGCTGGAATCGCGTATGTGTCTATTTGTCCAAGTTAAAACTTGTAACGATCCAGGCATTGCACTCTTTCGGCAAGTGATGACTACAATTAAAAATAACATGTTTTTAAATTGACCAATTTTATTATACTTTTGTCATGTTGTTATTCGTATCACGAATTGACGAAAGTTAAAACTTATTGTTCGATTTAGAATATCAAATTGTATGTCGTGAAGTAGGTAAATTGTTTTCGTGATAATTGTAAGTTATGTCCATTGGTTGTAATAAGGGATACAATATTAGCGCAAAACGCTGCATTTCTGCTTTTATTGGCATAACGTCTAATACAAAAATCCGTATATCCGGAATCAGACATTGTCAAAACCTATAATAATGGTTCATAGTATTTAAGGTATTATTTGTGTGGACGACGACAATCGCAAGCTTCAGGAGTTTAACAAAAGCGTATAACACCATCTAGTGACGAAAAAAGGAACTTCGTCAAAGCGTTCTTTAATTAAAAATGATGTCGCAATAGAAACAGCCAGTCATTGGTTGTTGTAGGGAGATTGTTGAGGCTGCCTGACACCGAATTTTTCTTCTCTTGCTACTTTTTAAAAAAGCAACGTACAAGACGTGTGCCGGCGAATTCGATATTTATAAAAACATGTTAACGGAAGAATCGAAGAAGCAATACACAATTGAAATTTGGAGTCAGATTTTTTTTCATTTATCTTCGTAAGAAACACAAAGTATACTCAATAACAAAAAAAAAAAAAAAAAAATTTTTCAACAACGATAGCGTGATGCGCGGGTAGTTGTAGAGCTGTCAAGAGCGATACGCCGGTAACATCACGCGAGGTGACAAAGGAGACCGCCACACATTTATTTCAAGTCTATAACTCTAAGCAGTTTATCAGTATCGCATAATGGTGTCGTCAAATAGTTACCTTGGATACAGCTACATCCATCAGTGCGCGATCAGTTGGGACCAGTGGCAATGTGTGAATATTTTAAAAGTACATGGCTGTGAAGAAGATACACAGCAAATTCCGTTCAATACCTGTTACTAAGTTAGAGAATGAATTTCAAGACAAGCCGATAGGAATCGTGTTATAACGGTCCTTTTCCACCGACAACTTCTCTATAAATTTATAGGTTATATCTCTTCGGAAATGAAACTATTTTTATGCTGGATCTGAATCGCGAATATTTGTGTTTTTAAACAAACCAACTTTAAAGTTCTTTATAGGTGCCATTAATGTGTTTGAAAAAAGAAATATACACGATTTAAATCCGGTAAAAATAGTTTCATTTCCTATGTGTAACGATCGCGAAAACCTACATATGTATTCGATAAGTTTCACTTTTTTTATTGGGTTAACTTAAGATGCTTTCATTTATCATTGGAATCGTTAATTGCCTGGTTGTTAGTCGTTAAATGTTTATGTATGAAAGCACACACAATTTCTACGCGTTTCACACATCAATCCTTTACATCCCAAACGCCTAGGCAGTGGTCTATTTAGATCTTTGCCACGTTTGCTCAATGTGGGTTGGGGATATCACGCGATTTCAAAAGTTTGTGGAAATTCTCGGCTGTTTTTTAGTATACCATGTGACGGGACGAACAAGCTGTGTGCCATTCAGAACATTTAATCGCAAAGATCTGAGGAACACTGCCACTTCGCCTGTCACCTTGAGACATACGTTGACAAGTCTCATGTGCCTGCAATTTAAACAGCACTCTTACCCTATAAAACTGGAATGCAGGAATGCTCATATTGCTGCTTGCTGGCAAAAATATGTAAGGTTCTTCCCTGGACGAACTCTGTCACAAGGAGCTCCTTTGCCGTAATTTTTTGTTACAAAACATTCACAAGTAAAACGTACTTTAGTAATTTCTTTATATTCTGAAATGTACAGTCACCAACAGAATCCTATTTAAGTGCGAAATACTATTTCAATATGCTATATTTTTTTCCGAGGCCCGCAATATTCTGGGTGATGAATAGCCCCGGAGCCGAACGCCGAGTCATTCTTTTATATTGCAACCTTTATTTTGGTTCCTTACTAATGAGCTTCCAACGTTAATGGCTAACCCTTCCCGTTCTGTTTCAAATTATGAAGTCACCATGAAAATTATGTAAAGTAACGGCCATGATAACCGGCTCGCGGATGTTAATGAATTAAAATGTGTCCGGCGTGACTTGTGTTTGGTTGGTGGCTTTTAATGAGTACGGGTAGAGCATAAATTTTAGGTCCCTGTCATTTTAGTGCCGGTGACATTATTGAAAAAGCCCTAGCGGTTATTTTTTTGTGAAATGATTTACGTCCCTTTTCATAATATTGTCTTTGCTACATAATAGCGTAGTTACGTATTCGATTTCGCCTTTTATGATTATTTCTATCCAACTAAAAATATTAACTCTTAACTTGCGTCCATAAGAACCGGACAAAGGTCCGTCTCGGATCCGCGACTGCCGCAAATTAAGAGGTAACCCTTTAGGAGCGGTTACATACGGCAACTTCTAGCAGCGATGCGCGATTGCATCGATACAAACGCGCGATTGCATTGCTACATTTTGCATCAATGCAGTCGCGCGTATGTAGCGATGCGGTCGCGTGTATCGCTGTTGTGTAACCACACTTAATTGCATCATTGCAAAATGACGAAATGGAACATGGCGGATTTTGTAGTTACAGTTTGTACATAAATGTAATATTTCGTTTAAGTATTATTACGTCTCTTAGGGTCGTATTCCAGAACTCTACTCAATGCTCAAGTCAGGATTTGAGCAGACTTGAGTATGATTTCAAGCACTGGAAATACGACCCTAATGGCAAGGACTCGAGTTAAGGAGTTGAGTTTTTATTAACATCGCACTAGGTCTCTGTTTGGCTGGTTTTTAGTTTTGTCCCAATTTTACTGTTACAAATATGTGTCATCCAAAATATAGACAGACCTCATGCGATAGGGCCAGCATTTCAATAGTTGTCGATATTCAAAACTTCAATATTTACAATGTCTATATAATATCGGGATGCAGGTTTTTTTTATAACATTAAGTGACGGGACGAACAAGTGGTGCGCCTGATGGTAAGCAATACGCCTGCCCATAAGAGTTACTGTGCCACTCGGAGCTTTAAATTGCAAAATTCTGAAGGGCACTACCATTGCACCCGTCACCTTGAGACATAAGTTGACAAGTCCCATGTCTGAGGTTCCATTTAAGTTACGCCATATTTGTGCTGTTATTGATTACCGTTACCATTTTTGCTGTGTATGTGTTTTAACGCTAAATCACATACAACTGAGCAATAATCGTATTTAAAACACGCGGTTTAACCGTTCAGGTTTCTCCGGTCCTCCTTATTCTTCACTAGTTTTATAAAACTATTTGACATGTTTTTTTTGTTATTAATTTGTATTTTCTTTTTATAATTGTGACAAAAATTTAGTTTATAAAAGTATTGAAAACAAAAAAAGTTACTATATATCGCACGTTGAAAACAATAACGTCACCAAACGAAACTCTCGCTCTGTCAAATTTAGGCTTAATTTCAGCAGTTGTAATGGCTATTTCCCAAAATATGACTTTTTCGTTTAGTGACAATAATGTCACTAAACTAAAATAAGTAATTATTTATTTAGATACACCATCGGCACATACATAGAGAAACTTACACTATTTTGTCATGTATACAGTAATTACGTAAGATAACATTAAAATTAAAAAGAAAATAGGAAACAACACACAGATGGCGCTACCGCAAAAAAAGTCGTTAAAATCAAAAAACAAAGGTTTGCAACAAACACAGAAAAATTCGTAAGTCTGCTGGTTCGTTACGTGGCTTAATTTGCAGAGCATCTGACACGGATTGCCTGCGGGTGCTGGTTCGAATACAGCCAGATCGAATGAAGTTTTCTTAGTAGTGAGAGCTTCTAGTCTTTTCGATTCACAATAATCTCAGTACAGAGTAATAAAAAACCGACCTCAAAAGTGCGTGGAATTACATATAATTACCAAGTTTTATTGAAATCGGTTACCGGAAAGTTCGCAAACCTGGATTCATCCCCTAGTTCGCCACTATACGGGACTTGACACAGGAGATAATAAAAATCGGTTCTCACTACTAAAAGTATCTTGAGAGAGAAAAACGCCTTGAATTTGAGAATAGCAAAATCAACCATTAAAATAATTGCTCCTTATAATAAAATTAAAGCGCTATTTATAAAAATGAATGTTCATGCGTGAACAGCCACCCTTAGAGGTGGATGATTTTCTTCAAAATTAAATGGGATAACAATGGAGGTACTCGCTTTCAAACAAAAACAAAAAAAAGACGAAAGTCGGACCACAAATACCGGAGTTATCGCTTAACATTCATTAAAAAAAAACATACAGTCGAATTGAGAACCTCTTCCTTTTTTGAAGTCGGTTAAAAAAAAAATTGAATATCATGGTAATAAAATAACATCGTGACATTGAACAAACTTAAAAATTAGAAAATACTATTGTGTAAAATATCATCAAATGAAACCCCTAAGTCTCCACCCTTAAAGCAGTTGTGTCATTCCGTTTTAACTTATATAATGACCCGTGAAAGATATCCAACTTGTCTGTATTAATAATACTATACTTCATTAAGTATTGATAACTCAATAAACTACAGAGGCAATAAATGAACAAGATCTTAACAAGTTTTCTTGGAAATTTGCATTTAAAACTAAACACTGGAACAAATGACGTCGCTACGATTCACTGTCTTCGCTTCAGCTATCACTGACCCAAAATACCGTAACGCTTAATGGCCTCAACTTAGCAACTTGAACTTGGCAAATGCATTCAAAACTACCATCAGTTTGTGACATTAGAAGGGTCCACATTCTTGTGTCAAGTTTCGTTTTCTTGTCCTATGCTCTTCGCCCTTTGGGGCGTTCCAGGAACTTCGG